GAACCCTATGTATATTATCTAAATTGTTATTAAGAATTGTGAACTAATGGCCTTTGCTGCCGAGTTGTTTTGTTTAAGATCAATAAAAAAAAAAAAAAAAAACAAAATAAAATTAAATACTTAAATATAATATAAAATGTATAAATATATTATCATATAGATTTATCGAATTGTATATATATATATACAGTACGTCTAATACTATTTTGATTAAATTAATTCCATTAATGCTAATTGATCTTTGTATAATTTGCATTATTATACAATTTAATAATTAATATCCTGGTGTAATTTGTTTAGGTCAAAATATAATATTAATACTGTTAACTATATACTACTACTTTTTATTGCTAAAATAGACACCAGTGAGATGATTATAGGTAAACAAATAAAATGAACTGTGAAATCCATTGTATCTTTTAGTAGGTTTTGAATTTGAATGTATAGACTCCATTTTTGAAAAGATCACTGTATTGGATATATTATGATTTAATTGAATAACAAGAACATTTAGCGGTAATGGTCTGTCAACCAATTAGTTATTATATATACCTATATTGAAATTAATAATTTATTTCTCTACTAGAAATACTACAGTAAGTCCGAACATTTTTTCCGAAAATTAATCACACTCCTTTACGATAATATATTATTGTTATTAACTTTTAAGGCAATACCGCGTACCAGAATGATTAGATTGGGGTATAAATAATTTAAAATTATTCTAAWTATTATGAAAATTTAATTTGTATTTAAAATAATCTACACATATTACCCACAGTGTCAAAAAGTTTGACGCTATACCCTACGATTAATATTTTTAATTTATGATATTATGATAACTTAAATCATTTGAGCACAAATCGTTAACATATGTTTATTATATATTTGAATAATATGCATTGGWATCAAATTTTAACTTCGAAAACGTATTAAATATTAATGCATTTTCAACTACAAAACAATTTACATATTTTCGTGATTTACCAAAGCCTGGACTTAAAACACTTATAAACATTGTAAATATGTACTATCAATATTTTTAATTGCTACATCAACCTTATATTATAAATGTTCCTAAACGGATGATTGATACAAAAAAATAACATATTTAAAAAATAATACATTCAACWCTCCATTCAAAATCTAAAATAATGAAACAAAGAAGTATAATATTTCAATAAAATGGATTTTTTATTGTTGCTTATGTTGATTCAATTCTTCTTATTTCGTATTATGTATAGTTACAATTTAAAATGACATAGTATATTAAAAATATGAATTATATGAGATTTTAAAACACTTCCAAAATCCCTAATTGATTTAGTTTGATGAACTATATACTTTTGTAAGATTTTATAATGTTAAATATATAAGTGTTCATGTCATATTCAGTKCAATTTAAAACTTTAAGAAAATTTACTTTTGTTATCCATTAACTACCATTGCATTTCAAGTTCCAATATTACAGTTCATATTCACTGAATATATTATTGAAGTTTTTCAGATACAACCAAGTTTTAGATATTTCAGTCAAAGAACGTTATAACTATCTAATAACACTCGGTAAACTTATTCTATAGTAGAAAAGTGTARAAAATATTTGTATTTTCGCTCTTAACATTTTTTATATAAATGTAATTCCCTAAATTTGGTAAATTCAAAATTGCATTAACATAAATTCTCATTACCGTAAATTTTATATTTAATCTAAATCCTRAGAAAATCATAATGCATAGTAAATTCGATATAAAATGTATGATTTATATCTAAACAAATAAATTAAAAACCACAATATTGTGACACATTCGGAATTGCATTTTAAATAAGTTGTGGTCACGTTTAACATTTTCTAAAGTAAAAGTAACATAATAAATTTTATGATCCACTTGAAACGGTTTTTTTATTCAACATGCTAAGTAGTAATGATTATATTTTTATAATAAATACTAATATTTTAAAAGCAAAAAGATGTCTAATTATTTAATTCTTAGGTATACTATTTAGTTATACATTAGTTTTACTTTGAACTAAAATAACAAATAATTGAAATATTTTATAAAATATTAAAAAACATTTRTTACTTATAAACAAAAACAATKTTAACCATATTAACTTAAAAATTGTTTGTTTTTTTTTTATTATCTAAACTGAAAATTTTTATCATAACGCTCTAACAAAAATATCATTATAATTATTATTAGTGCAAAAACTTTAAACTTCAATTGAGTATGTATAGATTTATACTTGCATTTAATATGTTGCATACATAAACTTCATAACTTTTTAATTATCACAGTAATATATTTTTAGAATTAGATACCATCACGTCCAAATTAAGTATACAACACGCTTTTGTTAACGCAACTAACTAAAAAAAGAAATCTACCTGACACGAAAACAACAACACACTTTTTATTTTCTATAATAAGAAATAATATTATTAAATTGTGAGAACAATATTTTAATTTCTCATTTTTAATTTGTAGAACTATTATATAACAGTCAAACACATATTATTAAAATGATGCTAACACCAAGAAATACTAAACAGCAAACTGCAAACGRCTTATACAGTTACACCGACAGCTGTATTTAACAGRAAACTGATAAAATTGAAAAATAACTTAATAAAATATAAATTATAGTGATCGATTGTAAAGTTGTCAAAAAATCATGTAGTKATGTCTTAAAATAATAGAAAAATGAATAAATTCTATTTAAACATAYATAAAAATAAAGATTTATATTGTATATCTTAATTTATAAAAMWCTTATACTTACCACTATTTCAAACTGTATAGTGATATATTAGTTTTAACAAAGTTACGTAATTTATCTGTATCTTTTAATAAAGCGTTGCGAAGAAGGTTTTATAAAATAAAAAATGTTATGACAGTATTTTCAAATAATCCAAATGTCATATAGCTAGATAAAATCAATACGTTTGAAAATACTTAACGGAAGCGAAAAACCTTTTACACTCTGCCTTATCAAACATGACAGTCCTGTCGTAGAAATTATTAATTTTGAAACACCTTAGCAACTATTCTAATGAATTGATTTTAAAGTCTATAATATGTTAAAATATCCCATTTTCTTTGTAGTTAATGTTTTTAATCCCTTATAAAAAAATAATATTATCCATTCATGCATTTTAATCCAGAGAATATGTATGTTTATATCCTATGTGATCAAAGATAAATTATTGAACATTATTCCCGATGAATGACTGATTAGGACATGGCCATAATGCATTTTCATTTTATTTTACCATTACTCGCTTTCCGGTTTCCTTTTAATTTCATTTTAAAGGGGCTTATTATCTAATAAAAAAATTCCTCATAAACTGCCCTCACTGAAACAAGTCGATGCAGCATACAAAATTCAAACTTGAAGCCACGTGAACGGATGTCATTGCGGTAAGGACTTCTATACGTATGCACGTGTCTACCACTCYGATAAATCGTCCAACCATGAAATGACTATTATATCAATACAAAACTACCGTCTATTATARACATTCAAAATACATCACAAGTCTATTTTAAATACTTTTTATTTGTTTAATTTAATCGAACAAGGAACTGTGCTCATTTCATWATAAATATTACCTATGTGGTCACATTAACGTATTATAATCTTAATGCCACTTTATTATATTCATTGATTCTTGTCGATTTATTTAATCCATAATATTTTTAATACAGATTGATACATTTGACAAAAACCCATACTTTTCTTTGCAGTTATGTGAAGTATGTATAGTTGTATAGTTATAATACTGAACATTTAAAACTTATTTTTTATTTTTTAAATAAAAACTAAGAGCTTTTACTTTAAAATTATTGTCCTTGCAATATATTTTAAACATATTTGTGTATCTCTATCTTATATTCCAAGTATAGTTTAATAGTTTTAATAATTTAAAATTACTTCCATGTATATATTATTTCATCATAAATCGTATATTTTTCCCAGATAAAATCAATAAACAAGTAACTCCATTTTTATCATAATAAATTTCTCACGCTAATTTTAAAAACTTAAGTAGGTAGTTGGCTATAAAATATTCATTATTTAATCTGTAAAGATATTTTTACGTTTTAAAATGTTTTAAATCTTATTAAAGTCATTAGAGTTTATACTGTACAATACCCATAGTGTATGCTGTAAGTAGCGTCGAGGCGAGTCTGGCCTCCTGGATGTYGAAGAAATTAAAAACAGATTATATTCGTGATTAAAATTACGCAAACAAAATAATATACTATGTGTGTATTGAAATTGTATTAAGTCAATAAACTCGTAAATATTAAATTATTACATCGCACAGAATCCGTGTGTCAAAATGTCCGTGTCAACCATCAATCAGTRTTCAGTTGTGCATTTATGGATTACCTGAGTTCTGATGTCGGTAGGTATAAATCGGGAGTCTTACATCGAATGTTTATAAAAAAATAAAATAAAATAAAGAGCATTTCACCAATATTTTATTTACTCTGAAGAGAGTTAAAAGCTTGTATTAAAATACATTTCTCTATAAAAATATTTGTGAATTATTTTTACATATAAAAATTATATATATTTATTATTACCATTTTTGCAAAGCATTAGAACAATATTATTTTATTTATTTTTATTTTTTCAATTTTCAACTTTTAACTAAAATATTATAGAATACGATTATAAAATTGTTATTAATATTTACATAAGCATACAGTAAAAATAAAAATAAAATACTAATTTTAGATATTTTTTTCTTATTATTATTAAATTATTTTATCTCTACATTTAACAARACAATTATTATGATCATAAATATAGTTTTAGGTGGAAATTATAGGTATTCTTATATAGTATGTATTATATATATTATTACTTATCTTCGTATTTCAATTATAACGTTCAATTTTTAGTTTAATTAGGTAAGATAACTTTCTAATGCCTAATGATAGACTAAATTAGATTAATTTGAAATAAAATCATATTTTATAACTTACCCGGTTCAATTGAATTCCTAGTTGATTTTAACTGCGGATCAAAATGGACACAAGACACTGAGCCTATGCTTCCTCTTGGCGTTCTTCCCAAAGAAGCTGATTCGGCCATGGGTATGCTGCTTCTTGCTGACCGACTCATGTTATACGCACCTTCTGATACTACACTCCCTCTTGGACTTTTCCCAGGGTCTGGTATCAAGCTACCTCTAGGACTCCGGTTGGCATCAGGTGTTACTGCCAAACTACCTCGGGGACTTCGATTTAAATCATAAGCAATACTTCCTCTAGGTGATCGACTAGGGTCCGGTACTAAACTATTTTTTGGACTTCTAGATGGATCTAAGCCAGCAGTACTTGATCTTGAGCTTCTGTTAAAACTCTCCACGTCCAATCGCAGCCCTGACCGTAATTCCGAATAATCATCTTCTGGAACCATACTACCTCTTGGACTTCTAGGGCTTCTCGGATCTGGATGCTCACATGTAAGACTATGCCTAGGACTCCGATTGACATCGACCTCAAGCCTTGAAGGACTAGACCGTGCATATGAGTCTTGTTGTTCGTCAGGTAATAATCGAGGAGGTTTTCGATGATCTGACGGTACCAAACTCGTTCGTGGACTCCTTGACATATTATCCGGAACCAAACTATTTCTAGGACTTTTATCAATGTACTGCAGTACTTTAGTTTCTGACACAAAACTCGGTCGGGGACTTCGTTTGTGCGTATATTCGAAAAACTCCTCTTCCGGCGATACTCTAGTCCTTTGTCGCATTTCGAAGCCATCAGAAGGTGACGTAGCTGCTATACTAGCTCTCCTATGTTGCGGTGACTGCTGCGTCTGTTGCCTTCCTCCTTCCGGAAGTCTTGTTGACTGATTTTCCAAATTAAACGCCACACTGRTTCGACGAGAGTCATTGTTGGCAGCACGCCTCTTCCTTGATGATGGAGATCTCTGAAGCATTGTGGCATTCAAACCATTCACAATAAAATTGTATGTAACCTAATTTAACATAAATAAAAAAATCAAGATTAGTATTCCATCATGGTATAAAAATTAATTTAAATTAATTTAAAGAGGTAGGTAGATCAAATGGTTTCTAATTATTTRTATTAACATTATTTWATTACAAAATTCCCGTGTTTGTAATTATTTTTGTAAAATTAATAATTATTAGTATAAGTTACGTGAAATGCGATTGCTCACCAAATAAGTACAGTACATATTCCTATAATGTAATTATATAAGTTATAAATACGCTGTTATAACTTTTAAGTATGACGCTTTATCATGATCAGTTAATAAATTTATCAGGTGTCTAGAATGTTGGTGCTTTTAATCGGTATGATTTTTTTTTTTGCATAATAGTTTAATACATTATTTATAATAAGTATAATTATTATTAACATTTTTTTTTCTTTATAAATTTATGGGTATGATAGTAACATTAATAACTTAAATTTAAATATTTACAAAATAAATGAAATTCGTATAATACATATCTGAAATGAACTTTTTTTCATATATAATTATTAATTAGGTACTTACGTAATAAATATTTATTWAAAAAAAATTAGTTTCAACTTTTTAAAATATAAATAAAATGYTTAATATTATATAGGAAATWAATTTGCTACAACTCGTATGTAAGTAGTCGTATTTTCATTCGATTGGATATTATATCAAGTCGGTCCTTTAAATGAGTTTTATTTTTTTCTCATTAGTACCCCTCCTAAGTCCTAAGCGTAAGGAAAACTCGGCATTATAGCATTCCTTTTAATAAAATAGAATTTGTATTTAAGCTCTAAAATGTTAATTAAACTCGATTTCTAACAAATTCTTTTTATAACTTGATTATGTGCAGAATAATTTGTTTTTAAACATCCGTTCTTGATTTTGCTCAAAAGCTAATTTAAGTTTTTTTTTTTAATGCCCAACAACAGCATCTGAATAGTTTGATGTTCAAGCTAGGAATATATTATATTATTTAATGAGAATTTTTATGGTTAGGTTGTTTCGAACGAATTGAGTATAGGTAGCTATAGTGAAACATTTTAAGTTTTATAAACGATCGTACAATTTAGGCATTATTTTAATGGTTGTTTTTTTCTTTATTGTTGATGAGTGGTGCCTTGCACTCAGGTTATTAACAAAAATCGTACCAAATTCTAGACTATGAATTAAAATAACTAGATAATATAACAAAAATAAATAAATAATCCCGTAGAAATCTATTTCATTAAAATAAAATCGCATCATTTAATGTACTGATAGTATTATGATTCACACAATTTTTAGTTTGTATGTCACACTTATACATATTAATGCAAAGACGCCAAAGACGTAAGGTTCAATAAAAAACAAACAAAAAAAGTGTGACACTCCCGTCAAAGAAACYTTATAAYATTATATTCTGTGACAGTTTGGCATAAACAATCACAAACTGAATTTGTAACTTATAAAAAAATCTCAAATGTATAAATTAAATTATAACATTAAAACATTACTATCTTGATTCTTGGGTCAAAATCAGTGAATTGAAGGAGTTGTTCAACTTTCAGTTTATACACCAACTAAATAGTGATTTCATGCGCAACCCACAGATTCACATGGATCATGCAAACACAATGTCATAACACTCATATTCAATGRTTTTTTTTTATTTAAAAATTGACATCTTGATAATATATAAAGTTAGATGAAACTTATATCTAGTGTTTAGAGTAGTATTTTGAGGTTTTTGATACAATATTTGATATTGTAATATATTGATATTATTAAAATAAAATCATTTAATAAAAAAGGTAATTAGTACCAACTATTAAATATAATTTTATTGGAAACATTATAGAACAAAATTATGTTAAATATATAAAATAGTTATGGTTTTAGGTTTACCTACCTTAACTAAATTAGTTAAATTATTTATTAATATATACATACACTGACGTTAAAGGTCGTGTATAGTAAAAAAAAGATAGTAGTATAAATATATATAGCTCAAAAAGACTGTCTTACCATATATAAAAATAAGTTGAAGTAAATAGTATATGAAAACAAAAAATAAGTAGGCATGCACCTTAGAAACATAGAAATTAATAGATTCAAACAACAAAGTTAGATTAATCTGAAATGTGTGTAGATAAATATTGTACCATGCATTTGTTGAAGTAAGCAGACACGAGACACTACATAATTATTGMTGGTATTAATTTTATTTATGTTTGTAAGGAGGTCAAAAGTCAAAAGTCCAACATTTTCAATTCATTAATTTTTCATTTTATTATGTCACTCTCCTGCTGTTAAACAAATTGGTATATCATTCAGTTCACCATATTATTGAATACAAGTTACTGGCACTGAATCATCAACATATATAAGGTTAAGTTTAAATATTCGAACAAAAATATCAATATCTTAATACATTTTTAAGGATACTTTTTGATCACACCAAAAATAGTCTAATGCTGGGTCGCATGAATAAATTAATAATCATTAAACATTTTTTGAATCGATAGTTCGTTTAAGATTTGATGAACATGATTTTGTAGTTCACGAGCCACGGATTATGATTGGTCCGTTTAATATTATTGAGTCATTAAATTAATTAATTTTTCATTGAATTTAGCATATTATCTACCATTTACCAATTCTAAATATAATTTTTTAAATAGTAAATACCTGATAAGTATACTACTATGTTTGTTTTAAAAGGTAAAAAATTATAAAAAAATTGGATGTTGGATATTGGTACTTGTCTAGTTTACAACTCACCTCTCAACATTAGCCAGTATATTACATAATTCAAATGATGGTGCAAAAAAAAATTATTTAAAATAAAGTATTTTCATAAATATTAATTTTTTAGGATAAAGATAGTCTCATTAGTCCCATTTAGAATCTTTATAATAAATAATATTACTGTAACTTGCAATGTCATGAAATAGATACATTTTACAATATTTGAATCAAATGGCTAAAATAAATGTATTGCAATAATGACCAATGCTGTGTATGGTAGGTATTTAAATGATTCATATCTATACGAAATTCCTAAAACGTAAAGCTAAATTTACAAACTAAATTGTTTTGACTTAAAAGCTTAATTTTTAAACTAAACATTATACATGACGTAGATAAAATAATTATATACCGTATTTCTGTACCACTTTTTGGTCTAAATTAAAGGMATCTATAAATTGTTGCTGATATGTGTATTATAAAAACCTATAATACAAAATAATATAATTAAGTATATTTGATACTTGTATAACTACCAAAGTTCTAGGTGTCCCTTCATTAATATTATTCAGTATCTAAATGTATGTTTTATTTCCATTTCATTTCACCGATCTTTCCTATTTCCACTACCTCTATCCGATCTCATTCTTGTTTCTGCTACAGACTAGATGATAACGTCGTGTATTCATGTCATACACCAAACACACGCATCTAAATTCAAAACAGGGAGGTAGCAACGCCCCCGTATGGTGATGATGATGATGATGGCAGCCGTCGTAAGAAAATCACGTCAAAACGTTAATTAAAATTACAATACAGGCCACCACCAATGCTAAATTTGACCCCGCTTTATCCCTCGTCTCGTGTTAACCCCATTGTTGATTTAACATTRCTTCCTACATTGATTTCCTGTCAAACAACTATTTTGTTTTCTGATAGGTGTTTAGTGTGCAATTATGGAAATGTTCAGTATTTTTATTGGTACATTAACATTTTAGTTTCGACTCACGAATGACCATCGATCATCAATATGATATTTCTTTTCAATTAGATCAATTGGACAACTAAGAGATCTTTATTTTACTAAGACTAAAAACGTAACAAGTAAAAGAAATAAGTTTAGTAGTTCCAACTGCGTGTTTTAATATTAATTAAATTTAAAATTAATTGACCATCTATTATAAAACTTAAAGGTAAGAAAAAAAATATATCAAATGTATTTTATGAATTTATTTTATTGGTATTTTAATTTTAAAGTCAAATATGAATAAGTACGACGACACATATCAAAATTTAAAAATGGCCTAATCTAACAGAAAAATTAAAATATCATAAAAAGGAATAAAGTTCAAACCTCTAAGGTTTATGATTCATAAGAGATCAATTAATTTGAATATTTAATTTTATTAGTATACGGTAACGGTATACCAATATAATGCACAATGCTCACGATATCTTAAAAAATACATCATATGAGCTGAACAAATGTTATATTTAGTGACTATCATTATGGTAATATAACATTCTAAATACATTGTTAATATAATATATAGATCATATTTAAATTTCAATCCATATCAAGTTTCATCTCAATTATTTTATAATTAATATTTATAAGATTTTGAGTACGAAAATAAAATAGGTACTCTATGTAAATTAAAATTATTCTCGGGAACTAATTAAAAGCTATATAATTATAAATATCTACATTCCATGAAATAAATTAAATAACTATTGGAAGTTAAAATATAAGTATCTATTCAAAATTACGTTGGGTTCTATTACTGAATGGAATCCCTCTTCATACCATATCAWCATGTAAATAAAATGTACTGTATTATCATACTATTTTTCTATTAAACTCACAGAGTATAGATTGTTAATTTCTTAATAAAATAAAATAAAAGTATTATTCATATTAACAATGTATGAATAAATGATTTAATTTAAATGTGCATTATTAAAGTTATAATATTTATGACGTAAACAAATTTATTTAATACCTTTTAGCTAGTATACTAACCAAAGTATATCTTGTACCACTTTCTAATAATAATTTAACAGTCATCGTATTTTTTTCAATAACATTTTAAATAGTTACCAAAGGTACCAAACCTAGATTTCGTTTAATTAATCACGTTTAAACTAAAATCCTAAAACCAACCATTGAAGAGGTTTCTCAATAGTATGTACTACTGTACAAACTTAACTGCTAGATTCTTACAGCCACAAATATAGACAATAATTATTGAAAAATATAC